GGACTATTGTCTTTGTCGCCATATTTATTACAACGTTCCGGCCTTCTTCGAACTGAAACCTTTAGTTCGCTTACTGGGGTAGACTGTTCTGGTTCCACGTGTCATGTTTAATGGATGTCAGTTATCAGTTATCTCCTGTTAATTCACCTCTCCAAGTTCTCCACTGCCTTAACCGGATATTGAACTCACATTCTTTGGGTCCAGTCACTGGTTCTAACTAACGTCTTTATCCACTGTGCCAAGTGTTCTGCATGGATCAATGAATGCCCAGGAATAGAGGTTTATCAATTATTTCCTGTTTAGAATTGGGTTTTTTGTTCCTTGGAAAGTTTGCTTCAGCGTTATGTTCCTAAGGCTTGACCATTCCTACGTTAATATAAGTCCACACTGTAACGCTCTACCTTGAGTGGTTCTTGGGCTTTGCATTGGATGAACATTAGTTATATACATACATACACACACACACACACACACACACACACACATATATATATATATATATATATATATATATATATATATAGTAGCGTTACTTACCGTGCCCGGTGTTTTTTCAGAATGACTGCTATAAAAGTATTGATCTGGCTCAACGTTTTTTAACTTCTCCGATGGAGAGTTTCGGCGATATTTTTTTAATCATTTCATGGCATGTTCATAATGCCAATGCGATGAAGGACTTGAATGAAAGAGTATAAGACTTTAGTGAGGAGAAGTGAGGAAAAGGACAATAAAAGAACAGGTTTCAGGAAGACAGAAGATGGCGATAATGCCACTAAGACGCAAGGGGTTACTGGGAGTGAAAGAATAAAAAGAATTTAGTGAAAATAAAGGAAGAGGATTTAGGAAGACAAAAATATGGCGGTTGTAGGTAGCAGGGAAACAAGAAATCGAAAATGCTTTCCACAGTCGAGAAGTGCGAGAAAAGGCACCACTAGACTAGAACTGACGGTTGCATCTAACTAGTTTTAACAGTAAAACAATGAGACCTAGTCACCAATCTAGTAACACGAATAAATTCATGCGATCCCGACACTAAGGAGAGATGCTCCTTAGAACAATTGCGATGAAAATATTAGTAGAAAAGACGGAGGGAAGCCATGTAAACCTCGGTGAGGATGTGCCTGAAGTCAAAATACCAGATTACGAGCGATCAGTTTAGAGACCTTTCTTTGAATTTTGTCAAGGAATTTCTAGATATATACATTATTAATGTAAGTGCAGTACTAGATTAGCAGCTACTTTACCATTGAAAATGTCTAGAAGTAGCCGTTTCAGTTGAAAATTGCTAGATGCAACAGTTTCCAGATGAAATGGTTAGATGTAACCGTTTACAATTTAAAATGGCAAGATATAACCGTTTATAGTCAAAAAAATGTATGTAGATGTAGACGTTTCCAGTTGAAAATAGTTAAGTGCAACAGTTTACCCTTTAAATAGCTAGATGTAACTGTTTCCAGTAGAAAATGGCTAGATGCAACTGTTTCTAGTTGAAAATAGCGAGATGCAAGCGTTTTCAGTCGAAAATTGCTAGATGTAGCCGTTTCCAGTCGAAAATTGCTAGATGTAGCCGTTTCCTGTCGAAAATGGCTAGATGTAGCCGATTCCAGTCGAAAATTTCTAGATGTAGCCGATTCCAGTCGAAAATTTCTAGATGTAGCCGATTCCAGTCGAAAATTTCTAGATGTAGCCGATTCCAGTCGAAAATTTCTAGATGTAGCCGATTCCAGTCGAAAATTTCTAGATGTAGCCGTTTACATTTGAAAATGGCTAGATGTAGTCGTTTCCAGTTGAAAATCGCTAAGTGCAGCCGTTTAGTTGAAAACACCTAGATGTAACTGGTTACATTTGAAATTATCTAGATGTAACTGTTTACAGCTGAAAATGGCTAGATGAAACCGTATGTTCTATGCTAACACTTTCTTCCATCCCAATTGTCGCTAGAAGTGCTCTCCACTGGTTTCTTCCTTCTCAGGCAACTTTGATCCTCAAACATTTAGACGCAATATCGTTCTCTTCCGCTATCTAAATTCTTTTTTTTTTTATTGTCCTCTCTCTTTAATAGTAGTTTTTCTCATATTCTTTATCAATCATTAGCCCTTTGCGTCCTAATGGCTTTATGGCCTTGGGGCAAAAGGATGAAAAAAAAAACCCGCAGAAATGATGGATTATTAGTCTTAAGTTTTTCTAAGCATAGGACTTTAAGCTAGCCAGTATATACCCCCTTAACGCTTTTTTGGATAACTGGGACAATAGTAGCGTGGGAATCTTGCATTCTGGATGTGTCAGTTCAGAGGTCAATGTATATCTTGAGCGTGTCAATTTTAGGGAATTTCATTGTCTTGTTTCCTTTTCAACTACGGTGATGTCTCCTTTAAATGTTGAAATTAGGCAAAATTTTGATCTCTCTCTTGTGATGATACCATTTCTCGTCTATAATTCTTACATCGGCACCAATGGTCATTTGAGAGAGCAGATCGTCTAGAAAATGACCCTAACGTTTTCCGCTGACATGAGGTGGATAGATTATATTGAATCAAATGCTAGCTCAGCTGCAAGGACATTTTTTACTCGCCAAAAATCTATTTTACATTCTTATAAGTTTTAACATTCGTCCATGCTTTTGAATATTGCTTCCACATATGGTCCAATGCTCTTGAATATTGCTTCCACATATGGTCCAATGCTCTTGAATATTGCTTCCACATATGGTCCAATGCTCTTGAATATTGCTTCCACATATGGTCCAATGCTCTTGAATATTGCTTCCACATATGGTCCAATGCTCTTGAATATTGCTTCCACATAATGGAATATTGCTTTCCAATATGGTCCAATGCTCTTGTATATTGCTTCCACATATGGTCCAATGCTCTTGAATATTGCTTCACATATGGTCCAATGCTCTTGAATATTGCTTCCACATATGGTCCAATGCTCTTTTGAATATTGCTTCCACATATGGTCCAATGCTTTGAATATTGCTTCCACATATGGTCCAATGCTCTTGAATATTGCTTCCACATATGGTCCAATGCTCTTGAATATTGCTTCCACATATGGTCCAATGCTCTTGAATATTGCTTCCACATATGGTCCAATGCTCTTGAATATTGCTTCCACATATGGTCCAATGCTCTTGAATATTGCTTCCACATATGGTCCAATGCTCTTGCTATATATTTAGAGATTCTTGATAAAATTCAAATAATAATCTCCAGTGTTATTGGGCCTGACCTGGCATATCGGCGTCATGTATTTTTCAACCGACATAACGTAGATTTTCTGTCTTTTCTGTAAGTAATTTCATGGTAATTGTCCTGATGAATTTTCCTCTCTGCTACCTAATTACGAATTTAAGCGCAGTACATAGATTGGGGTAAGGCCTCATCCTTTGACAGTTGGCTAGATGTAACCGTAAGTTCTGTGCTAATAGTTTCTTCTCCCGCACTTCTCGCTTGTGGAACATTATTCTGGCTTTTTGCTTTCGGTTTGGAATTCAGTTTTCCTTCTCCTAGACAGGTTACCACCCAAAGCTATAAAACCCAGTCCGTTCTGCTATTTACACATAGCTGGTGTAGAAGAGGAGGATTCATACCTATTCCAAGGGTATTAGCGCATAAGTGAATGTAATGGAACACACTGGAATTCGAACTCGGCTCTCCTAGTCGCTATCCATTACTTCCCCCTGTCTCCTAATCCCGAACAAAGGCAAAATGGGACACACAAAAACCAGTTGGATGTGTAATTCTTATATCTTACATCCTGTACAGTGATCCCTCGCTAATTCGCTGTTCTACTATCGCGGATTTTAAAAATATATATATTGAAAATATATTGAGGAGTTTCTGGAAAATTCTGGAAAAATCGCGATAGATGAACACCTAATTTTTTTCATTAAACCCATTAAAATATTAATAATAAATATTATTTCCTGGTCTAGGAATAACAAAACAAGCGTAAAATAGCAATAGAAAGGCCACCGCCGTCTGAAGAGATGTAAAATACAATTATCGGCTGCACAGTAGAAGTCATCATCAGCTTAATCATCATTCAAATTCTACTTCAACTTCTTTCGTATTAAATACAGTAACAATCGTTATTTTTTTTTTTAACAGTTGTCCTTGTTATTAATAGAGTACTGTAATGGGTGGATTGTTAACAGTACAGGGAGGGTTTTAAAAGTCCAAATACACGTTAAATAAATACTGTAAATATGGCGTCCCTACTTCGCGGAAATTCAGTTATCGCGGCCGGTCTCAAAACCAATCTACCGCGATAAACGAGGGATCACTGTAGTTTATTCTCTCGCACTTCTCGCTTGTAGAACATTCTTCCGGCTTTTTTGCTTTCCAGTCAAGTTTGATCTTAAATAATTAAATACAATGTCAATCGTTATCTTCTGTCTTAATTCTTTAAGACTTTATTTTTTCTCATATTCTGTAGCATTTAGTAACCTCTTGTATCTTAGTGGCTATATTGCCTTGCTTGGTTGTGAAATGATTAAAGATAATATATATTAGAAGCCCAACATACCACCATGACACCCGGTCTGGTAAGTTTATACCGTGTACATATAACACAGGCAAATATGTGCGATATGATGAGAAGTTTAGATAAAGGCAGCGCATAAAACTGAACGAGAGACCGAGAAATAACGTCATGTCAGGTACCCAGGTCTCCTCAGACGGTCTCCGATTGAGGATGTTCCCTATATCTAGATGTAACTTATCCTTCAGACAAAAAAAATCCATATCTGGTCATGATGCTGCCCCACTCCTCCCGCTCGTGGGCAAAGATGCACGATGCGACATCACCTAGGCGACACCTCCAAATAGCAAAGGACACGCACTGGCAAGCAAATCTGTGGGTACCTAACTGGACCTCTACCCTAGTCCGTCACCATAACAGAAGATGTCGATGTTAACATTTCCAATCAATGAAGCTCAGTGGCCATTAGAGTCAGACCTGGTATAACATCTGATTATTATTATTACTATTGCTTACGGCCATATCATGTTGAGACACCGATACTAGTACGATCACAGAAGTTAAGCAACGTCGAGCCAGGTCAGTACCTATATGGGTGACTGCTTGGGAATACCAAGCGATGTAAGCTTGGATGTGCCTATGATATAATGGGCTTCCGGCCGCATCACATTAAAACACCAATTCCCGTACGATCACTGGAGTTAAGCAACGTCGAGCCAGGTCAGTACCTATATAGGTGACTGCTTGGGAATACCAAGAGATGTAAGCTTGGATGTGCCTATGATGCTTCCGGTCGCATCACATTAAAACACCAATTCCCGTACGATCACTGGAGTTAAGCAACGTCGAGCCAGGTCAGTACCTATATGGGTGACTGCTTGGGAATACCAAGCGATGTAAGCTTGGATGTGCCTATGATATAATAAAAAAAGAAAAGAATGGTCCCCTCAATATCCGGCTACTATGCTCTTAGGCTATCTTGTTCAGAAATGTATATTGTTTAATCACCTCGTAGACATGACCTATTGGAATATATATATATATATATATATATATATATATATATATATATAATTATCATTATTACTATAACTATCATTATTATTGACCTGCATTTGTTTTATAATTACATCCAGGTCATGACCTGGGGGACGGCCGTTGTAAGGGTCTTGCGCATCTACGCCGAATCTATGATACGCTCTCCTCCACCGAATCTATGATACGCTCTCCCCCCCGAATCTATGATACGCTCTCCCCCACCGAATCTATGATACGCTCTCCCCCACCGAATCTATGATACGCTCTCCCCCACCGAATCTATGATACGCTCTCCCCCACCGAATCTATGATACGTAGCCTCTCACTCTATTAACATCTCAATTTTCATAAGGCTTATTCATATAAAATAGATATTTTATTCAATTGTAACCTGATTATGTACAATAGTGAATCATATGCAATATAGGTGAAACATTCAACGTGAAAAATTGAAAATAAACGCAGTGTATCCAAATACAGATTAGAGACGTCATAATGTAGATCATTCCATCTTAAATAAATCAATGTTTTACGGCAATTTTTAGTATCAACCTGATATGTTTCTTGCTAAAAAGTTGAATAATTGGATCACATTTAACATTATGGATAAAAAATTAGTGAATTTTATGTTCTTCGGGACTTAGCAAAACATGAACAAAAAAAAAAAACAACAATTCAAGGATTTGAACGAAAACAAAAAGACCTTAGAAAGACGTCAAAATCCGCGAAAATTTTTCAGCCTTTAATAGTTAGTTTTAATCTGTAACGTATATAAATGCAGGTAGACAAAAAAGCAAATATTGACAAGATAGCGATGGTCACAAAGCTAGGGTCCTCTCCGATCTTGTTCTAGGGTGTGGTCGGGGGTTGTCCGGGCAGGTGTAGTACGCACCAGCCCTGACCTAGGGCAGAGATGACGAACCTTTATAGTTGCAGGGATATTTTTGGTAATTTAAATTTTTTCATATACATAAATGGGTCACTCATATTCTGTACACGGCTATCATCAGCCCCTCGGAGTATTATTTTAATATCTGACATTGAAAATAAATTTAAAACAATGCTCCGAAACAGACACTTAGTGGCTGATGATAGGCGTGTACAGGCTTAAAATAGAGTATCTCTCTGTTGATGTATTTTTTGTTTTTTTGCTGTAAAAAATACATATGCTCTGTTAAAATAAAACATTGAGCTCTAAGTGAATCAGTTTTAATAATTAATATTACTAGTATTCACCCGGATCATATACCAATGGATCGACTATACTAACTGTACTATATATATATATATATATATATATATATATAACAAGTATATGATTGGTGTATACGGAATAAATTCCAATAACCAACAATTACTATTCTCAAAAAGTTCTCAATGCAGAGTAGAGGGAATATATTTATTTATTTAAAATTATAACAAAAATATGTTATAAAATCACTACAAAAATAGCCATTTTGTTTCAACACCTCTGGTGTCTTATTAAGTGATGTTGAATGATGATTGAATGTTGATATATATATATATATATATATATATATATATATATATATATATAGCAATCCCTCTGTAATAAAAAAATGTATTGCTGCATCTTAGTTTATATTTTAATTAGTGGTTCATACTTTGTTGTCTTCGGTTTAACGTATGTAAAACTCTTATCGATCCGAAGACGATTTCTGGTGGTTGCTGCAATATAGCTCATGTCGTGCCCTATTTCAGGACGTCATTTCACTGACTCCCTGTGGTTCACTAAAAGTTGATGGGTGGGGGTTGTTTCTGTTCATGAACCTCAGGTGAGTCATTCGCTATCTCTGTCTTAGGCTGGTTGCACTGCCAATGCTAACTTGAGCTTGACTTCTGCAGATATCTTAGACGTGTGGCGAATACTGGGCACAGATGTGGTTCTGAAGACATCTACTGAGAATGCCACGGACTGAACACGTAATAAATGAGGAAGAAAGCTGGTACCTTAATACTTAGAAGACGTGTTAAGAGAAGAGGTAGAATTAAAACAGACGGAGTTTAGATTGCAAGAGTTCATGACACGCGGAACTTTGGTTCCCTGTCTCTAAGCGAAGATTGTGATTTTTTTTCCACTATAGCAAAAGACAGATATTAATTCCAAAAAAAAGTTTAAATAGTTGTACTGTTTCACGGGTTATAGTTGGTGCTTTTTACAATTATATTTTTAGATTTCCTATAGAGGTCATGCACCAGGGATTTTGTTGATTTGTTTTTGAGTTCCTTCTTTATCAGATCCAAAGCTCCAACCACAACAGAAACAATTTTAGTTTTTAAGTGCCACATCGTTTTCGATTTCAATCTCTAGTTTTTGTATTTGCCAAGTTCTTCAAAAACCTTCGCAGAGATGATTTTCTCCCTCGGTACGCTCATGTCAATCAGTGTGCAAACCTTTTTCTTTTTTGTCTTTTATTATTATTATTATTATTATTATTATTATTATTATTATTTCGCTTACCTTGTCTTTTATTTTTCATGCTGCTTCTTTTACAATTATTTTTATTTAAATAGATATTCATGCTGTTTCGTTTACTTCGTGGCATTTCGTTCTCCCGTTTTGCTTTTTGTAAAATCTTGATCTTCGTTTTGTCCAATTCGCAAATTTTAAATGCTTTTCCGTTTTTGATTTGATATCGTTTTTGCTACTTGATTTACACACACACACACACATATATATATATATATATATATATATATATATATATATATAATATGTGTTTGTGTGTGATAATTTGTCGTGTTTTCTTGCAACTAATTCACTTGATTTTATTTTTTTCTTTGACGGCTTGATTAACCATTTTGAAATATATATATATATATATATATATATATTTTCTGTGGAGATGACAAATTTATTTCTTACTTTTGAAACTATGGAGATGTCTAGCGACATTTTTCAGAGAATTGTGCACAGTTCATTTTTAATTTAATCTATTTATTTTATTTTTCGTTCACAAGAAAGGGAAAAAAAAAAGAAGCTTCCAGAGGAAACAAATATCGCTTCCCCGAAGAGGTTTTCTGTTGAATACATTTATCTATGCGTTGTGAAATTGTCAAAGTAGGCTTCTCTCGGAATAACAACAACAAAAAAAATATACTGAATATTGTCAGAACCTCTAGATTTTACCTCCAACCGAGGAACAATATCTGGGACAATTTTACTTTATTGTCAAACTTGGATCTACGTGATTGCAAAAATAAGAATGCCAAAAGGACGGTTTTTCCATTGACACCGCTAATATCTTAACTACCTTCGCTCCTCAGCAATGTTTATTTCCAAAAGCGGTTATTAGAATTGTAATAAAATCTAAACATATGGTGAAAGTGAATTTATACATTTTTTTGTTCTTGAGAATTTAGAACAAAAATATTAAACACTATTTATTAGATTGTTTATTTACTTGAATAATTTTTATATTTACAACATTCTAAAAACTAATACAATGCAATATTTATTATTTATCAATTACTAAAGAAATAGGAAAAATAAAATTCTTTATAAACATTTACTAAATTATTAGAATACGTGAACCAATTACAAAGAATTTCTTATTATTTATAAATTAAGAAAAGTTTGACTCCATTGGCAATTAGTCGATATTTTGCCAACCATTCCAATAAACGATCTAATGGTGGTTATTATTTGTCTTGTCAAATATGGGTATCCACTACAAATAACGTTTAAGTAATAAAATCTGTCGGATCAATAAAAAAAATCCATATATATATATATATATATAATATGGTGCGATAGATAAATTGTCGTTTAAATAGCATAAAAATAAAACTGACATCCCATTTTAACAGGTATATTTGCCAAAATTACACAAAAATATCTTGAAATACTAAAGAGTAAATTTATTCAATAAAATCGCCATTGGCTTCAACCACGGCCTCCAGATAACTTCGGAATCTCCTGCAAACTTTCTCGACGGTCTCCTTGTCTAAGTTGGCGAATGCTGCCATAATCTTTGTACAGTACAATTTTGGTGTTACTAGAAGTTTTGTTGGTCTCTCAACTGCGTCTCACACTTAATAATCAAGGGGGGAGTTAGGTGGCCAGATTTAAGGGATGTTGTGATCCCAGAAATTCTTTCACAGCCATGCCTGGCCCATCTCCTGCTCATGGGAACTTTGTAGTTTAAAAGCAGTAATTCGACCTTGCTAACCAGACGCTTCCTCTGTAGCTAAATGGTATAGCACGTCAGGCTATATGACGGTTCTGTGTAGGATAGAATTTCAATTCCTTTCGGAGTACACACATTTTCCATAAGATTTCTAGGACATGCAGGCCGGCAAATGTTGTTAATACTGTTTATTATAAATAGAGCATATATCTAGAATTTTGTATCAATAAAAATAACGTATAAACTATATATATATATATATATATATACACGGTGCCCAGAAAAGAAATCTCTTATACTGATGCAAAAATAAAATTAATGAACATCTTAAACGCAATCCCTTATCAGTCTTCTTCAACGAAAGTGAAACTGGTATTACACAATCATGTGTGTGTGTGTGTGTGTATATATATATATATATATATATATATATATATATATATAGTGTGCGTGTATTTTGGCAGCATATTTTCATCCAAACAGATTTGGTTAAATAACTTAGATATATCATGTCGATTAGTTTTCGTTGTGATTCTTTGAAGTTTGCGGATTAAATTTTTGGTAGATTTAGTAAACTG